CGTGATTCAGTTGTCAATAACGACACGGGAGAGTTTGAAATTAAAACATTCGGCGAGCTCAGTCTTCCGGGAGTTGCTTTATATTAGCACCGAATTGAAGGGATTCGCAACTTCCTTCCTTAAAGACCAAGACGAAATCAGAAAGAGACTCCATTGCCTTGGCCAGTTTTGACAGTGGAGTCCCAGATAAACAATTATACTGAATGTGCTACTTCAGGTAAAGCTGACCTCGAGTGTTACTGAAAACGGTGCCAGCATTAGCTAGCATTCATGCTTTGCATGTTAGAAAATTGACACTCAAAAGAATCAACTTTGAGAGAAACAATCCCTCTTGACTCTGGCTCGGTCCTTAGTGGTGCTTGTGGAGACAAGGGGGTCAGTATGTGCAACTCCATTTTTCGTCAAAATGGGGCTTTCCTCATTCACAAGGGGCGCTAAGGCATTAAGATGAAGATATTGATAAGGGTTGAAATCCAGGGGGAGCGAGCTATCGACACGTTTCAAAGTTTTAATCAAAAATTCATGTACGCGGCATGACAACAAAGTGGACTGGTGCAGTCATTTTGAACAAAGGCGAGCTATCATTTTAAGGTTTCCGCTGACGAAAACACGTGTTTTCGCTTTTGAATTTTAAAGTGAAACTCCTCATGCATCACAGTGCTCCTTTATCTTCGTCATTTCACAAGAAAAATATAAAAAGATAGTCTCTCATTGTCAACTGATAAGTCTCATTTGTTCTGGTGTGAATATAAAATAAAATATTTTTTTCTTCAGCCATCAATAGAATAGCTTGGTTCACGGGTATCATATTTTTCATTGATCTTAACTGATATAGTTTTGGTTGTGACATCTCGAATCTCGTGAACACTTCCTTTTCACTGAATTAAATGTTTCTGATCAGTCTAAATGTCTGTGGCACATTAACAAGTACCGAGAAGAGGTTAAAGGCCTGGGAAGGTTAAATGCAGGTAATTAAGCACTGAAAGGTGTCAAGATTTAAGTTGGAAGGTTCGAGACAATGTACAACTATGGGTGGTTAGTGGCTCCGTTAAGATCAGGCAAGCTCAAAAAGAAGACAGAAAAAAAAAATTTCCCGGGCTTGATAACCATTCTCCTCTTAGCTGAACTGGCCAGAGTGGAAAAAGAAATTATTTCCGCTGTATCAGGTTAAAACTTGTGGACGAAGATACGTCCGTATCAACTGCTGGTTTCCTACACGAAGGTACTTTACCAGTATGGGAGCTATTAGAGCCTTACAAACGAGTATGTATGATAAACGATGCTCTGACAAGCAAAGAACTCACCTTTAGAACGCACATGATTCGCCTCTTTCCGTTGTGGGAGGTGAAATAGGACGGTACTTTAAGATATCAGTCATATCAAGTGAAGTGGTTCTTTGGGTCTTCTCGTTCAACAGCGTTACCACCGCCTTCAAAAAAGTGAAACGTGACCTTTGTAGCGGGGAGAACTAAGTTTGATAAGTTAGTTCAAGAGCATTAAGATCAAGATCTCAACTAGAAAGCTTTTATTCTCGAGATAAAATTATAGAAGAACATGTGGGCTCTTGTTAGCAGTTATTCAAAAGCAAAAACAAGTGGAATGGTGACCTGTAGATCAGTGAAATGACGGCTGAAATAAAGATGTGTCTCAAGTGGAATATAGTAACAGAAGAAGTCATAATTAATAGAGGAAAAGGTTATTAAGCCCGGTAAACTTCAAAGGAGCAAAGATGACAAAATTTATGTTGCAAGGTCCACGACCGTGCACAATCTCAATTTTGTTTTGCGTTCATACACTATGCATGAATTACGTAATAAAAACGTTTCTGCTGGTTAGTTCTTTGGTGAAAAGTAAACAGACATTGTGATTCGTGCACGGTCAACGACAAAATCGAACAAAACCAAAATCTTTATTGTGCTTCATGACAATTTCTCTCTATTGATAACTATCATGAAGCCGGAGCCATGGCCCGGACATTTTTAAACGCATGGAGTTAAAATCAGAAATCAATATTGTCGAACTGTATTTTGGGTGGTGGCTTAGATCAGTCTCAGGGGCGTAGCGTACATTATTCATGGTGTGCTCACCGAAGTACTCATAATAAGGTTTGAGGGCATGCCCCCCACCCCCATCACCAGGAGCATTTTGTTTTAAGGGGTTTGGAAATGCCGTATCCCACCATGTTTCCAAGGGACAGTTTCTAAATCAAAACATGGAGAAACGTTGAAAAGGAGAGATTATTCAAGACTGAACCAGTTGATTTAATCATTGCCGGCAATAAATATTATTTATAACGAATAGATTCCAGCTGGCCGTGTGTCTGTTGAGTAATAGATCACAGATGACGTCAAAATGTGGTAAGAACAAAAAAGTGGCACACGAGGCGATAGCCGAGTGTGTCAACAATGTTCTTACCACATTTTGACGTGTTCTGTAATCTATTACTGAACAGACGCACGGCAACATGGAATCTATTTGTTTCAGATAATAAAGAAAAAAAAATTGCCGTTTCGGTCAACACTGGAGGCCATTCGATTCGAGTTTTAAATGAAAGGACCGTTGGTGACGGTACAAAATTTGTGTCTTCTGTGGTTGATTATTCTCAAATCAGTTTAACATAGTGTCGGAGACATCTTATAGCTGCGATACAGTTGGCCGTGAGCTGTAGTTAGCTATACTTTGCTCGCTGCTGTGTCCTGAAACGGACTGGAACATTCGCATATTAAAGCAAGGTTATGTGACTATTTTAAGTGATTTTAAGACGTAATGTTTTGATGTTTCATTCCCAACACCAGTCTGTGTCAACAGAGACTGAGAAAAGTTGAATTGTTTAAATAAATTAATGATATAATAATTTTGTTTATTGGTTTTGTTAAATTCGACACAAAGCAATGGTTTCTCAGTTACCTTAAAGTAATTTATTTTGTGTTTGGTTTAGTCTCGCTCGACTGCCGACCGAGACAGCTCGAGTATTCTTCTGAGTCATTTTCTGAAAAAGAAACGGCTTTTTCTTTCTTCTTCTCCCTTCTCGTACCTGTTCAATGTCTCGGCAGGACTTTTTTTGTACTTTATCTTTCGCCCAGTCACGAAAAGTATCATCTAACTTCTCAAAACTTTCGGCCATTTTAAGACACAGAGAGAAAATCTTTGAAATGATGACGTCAATCGTGCGTCTGTCTTCTAATAGATCATAGGCAAGAACCACTCAAAATGCGAGAATAACTTGGGTTATTATATAAACTGATAAAACATAGGTTTTTGACCAATCAGAGCGCGCAGGGTCCTATCTATATTATAGAGATATATAAATTATCAGTCCTGACAAACCATCAGTTTCTTAATTTGTTTCTGCAATGTCTATCGCTTACCGTAATTTTTTAAGGAGACAAAAAGCGTTGATGAGGAAAGCGATTTTCTCAGTAAATTACAGTCAAATGAATTATTCCTTGGAGTATTTTTGTTGTGTTAACGGTTTTTTGTTCCTGCAATTGCTACTTTTCCAAACGGCTTTTCTTTGCAACGTTCTTCTGGTTCTCTAGTAGCCCGTATGATTTACAAACAGTCAATACTTAGTGCTCAATTTTAGGTTATTTGCTTTACTTTTTATGTATAAGTTTTGGAAGGGCAAATTTGTCATATTAATTTTACCGCTCCCGATAAAAAGTTACAAATCACATTATAAAGAAACGTAGTCCTTTTATTATCAAAGAAAGACGAGTCTGTAGTGTCAGCGGCTACCCTAGCATTTTGAAGACAGATTAAACATAAGCATGCATGGCAATTTTTCTCGGATAATGCTGTCCAAGGGGGCAAGGTGCTTTGAGGTTAACCCTATGTGAAGCACCAACCCGTAAAATAAGGCCAGACCACAACACCGGGGACTCCGTGCCCTACACTTTCCGCTAAGTGTGTGAGTTCTTTAACGTCCCCTGCTAATCATGTAACACTGAAGATGCAGGAGACGGGGTGATTGCTTTTCCGTTTTTCTGTTATGTCTCTAGTTGCAGTAAATCAGACTCCAAGCTTTGGTGATTTTTTTTATTTTCATTTTTTAGGTAAAAGACATGACTTCTCGTCTTCGCAAAGCTTTCATTGATAACCTTAAGTCTGCAGACTGGATGGATTACGAGACAAAGCAATCCGCCAAGGAAAAGGTACAGAAAAGCCAAAAAACTATCCCGCAAATTCATAGGTCGTTTCATTATTTAGTCGTCCATAATCTTTAGTTAGTTCTATTTAACCTTGGTGTATAGAAGGCACCGCCAGGCTCTTCTTCCCCCAACGACATTATCATTCATGAGGAACAATGAGAAGAGCACAGCCATAAAAAGTACAGAAAGCACAGACAAATCTAACAACGAATGTTTGATCTTAGGACATGGTACATTATTTAGGTTGTCAATTTATGTAATAAAACCTTGTTTTGTTTTTCGTCGATCCAGGCCCGTGTAATCAAAGAGGATGTGGGTTACCCTCCTTATATCAAAGACGACAGCAAACTTGACACCCATTACTCAACGGTGAGTAATCACCCACACACCAGATTTGTCTTTGTCCTTCTGATCAGCAGAGTCTGCATAAGATATATTTGTCTTATCTTCTATGATACCTCATTCATATAACTACGGTTGACTTGATGTTACTCTGAATGTTTGTTTTTTTCCTCAGTTAAACGCAAGCAGTGATTATTTTGAAAACAACGTGGCAATGAACAGAATGATTGTGCAAAAAAGTTTTGACGTGCTTCGCGAGCCGGTCAACAAAGATTTGTAAGAATGAAGCTCTATGGGGCTTTTATTTGTTAAGTACATACCGTGGAGAAACATTTACTGGATTCGTAGTTTTTATGGGTCGAACAAAGTAGATTAAACTACATCTGTATAATTTAGAAAATTTGCGCAAAGTGTAATAGGCCATTTTCGAAATATTCTGATATGGCTTCGAGGCTTGGCGAGCTAAAACAAGAGAAATCCTTTGTTCATCCTTCAATCTCGATGTTATTTTTCCCTCAGCCTCGTTGCCATGTGAGACTTTTAAATACTTCAAAAATGGCTCATTGCACGAAGCCTTAATCCGAAGCCCCGTGC